CTGAAGAAAGTTCACTGAACAAAGATGGGGAAGTTCTAGGCAGATAAGTTAAAGGGACAGAGAAAGGTACAAAAGAGAAGGTGGCCAAATGAGTAAATGGCTGTAACAAGCAGTGTAATATATTATTATCAGCAGAACACAGTGAAAACTAGATCCTTGGCATTTTAAAAGTGAAAACTGGAACATTCACATTGCTACAAACAAGGGCACAGTTTCAAATGAGATATATGGACCAAATACATTTCATTCTAAGAAACAGCTGAAATATAAAAATAATGCTTCAAACTCAATTTCCACTGATCTTCCATGAAGGGTTTAGACTCAAGATTTTAAGTGATGATATTAGAAATAAAGAAAAGTAGAATGCACCTTACATCGGTTCTATGGCCTAACTAATCCTATTGTATGTCTGTGTAGAGGGTGAGGGGTTTGATACTCAATATCAAGATTTCTTACTATTTTTAACACAGTTTTATATAAAGAAGTATACAAACCAGAATTTGAAGACTCTACCACTCCACAACTGGTTTCCTGCATTTCCATCCTCAGTCCCTTCTAGTTTTTAATACCAGGATCCTGAACAGGATTGTCATGGGTCTGCTTGAACAATATGGTACATGAGGCTATTGGGCACTTGGGCTTCTGTCCAGGAAACATGGAATTTCAGCAAATAGTTTTCCATGGATTGCTCCCCATGAGGAATTGTTCCAGAGGAGCTGTGGCTTATATCTCAAATATAACATAAACCTGTGACATGTTTTTTCCCTGCTTCCCCTCAATGAAGTGTTAGCTCACTTTCTAAGAAAACAGTTCTTGTAAAAAGGAACCAGACTTTTCTTGTAAAAGACCTTGACTGATCACGCATCCAATCTTTGCCCTTGACAAATAAAGAAACTGCAAAGAAAGACAGTTTAACTTTTGTTTCATCGTACCTGATTTACCAACCTGAAGAAAGTCAAAATTCCATGGACAAGTATATCTGCCTTTCTGCTCCTGAAATAAAAAAACTAAAGGAAGGAACTGCTTTTTGTTTTCTTTCACCTACTATTTTCTACAGTCATTGACTGACTGGAAGCAGTTGCCATTCCACAAACAGTTAATTTCATGCAAAGATGAAAATGCATCCTGTCAAGCTGAAACAAGTAATAAGCCAGCCCTGTTTACATAGCCATGATACATAGCAATCCATTTTCTCCATATCATTGCACTCTACAGAGCCCTGAACCTATGGGAATGGAGTGTTATATAAAAATTAAAATAGATAAGTAAAATAAAAAATATTAGACACAGCAGATCTCCTTTAGTTAAGGAAACTTGTAAGAAAATGGTTCTGCCATTAGGCACCCCCAAATTCAAAATTCCATAAAAATGACACCTGTTAAGCAAATTGGGTAAAATATGGGCTTTCATAATTTACCCTGTGAAGCCTACAACCATGCCAAATTTCAGTTCAATTTATAAAAAAATGCCTCAGATGTAGCAAATGACAACATGCTTAAAATTGAACCATTTGTCACATTTACTGCAGCCTGTGGCTTAGCATATCAGATACTGTTTTCAAGCTGCTTAAAAATACTCAGCATACCAAGCAGCAAACCCTAATAAATGTCATCCTGACAATTAAACTGCTGTATTGACTGTCTACCATATTAACTCAGCTTTTCTCCACAGTTGGGCAATATTTTTATTATGGCCAAATAAAATTGCACAAAAATGCCCTCTCTAGAATTCTTCATCCAACTAGGAATCTTGGTTGGTCCTAATAAAGTTATTGTCCAAAGGTATTCTCTCTCTCTCTCTCTCTCTCTCTCTCTCTCTCTCTCTCTCTCTCTCAAATGAGAGAGAGAGAGAGAGAGAGAGGTTGTTATTTAAGCACAACATAATGACAGCAATCTCACCTTGTTCTTTTCTTCTTCCTAAAACATCAAATGCTTTGAAGGCTACCTGACAACTTTTATGGAGTACTTTATCCAGGGTCTTATGTTTACTCATAAAGGGATTTTCTACCTAGGAATTTCTGCAGAAATTTTGCAGTGCTTGCTATGATGGGACCAACTAGCTGCTCTTCCTGGGTGGGAGTACTGAAGGGAAAATGAATTCATTTCACATTGATTTTGGCACCAGTGGTATGATGGAGCCATGGTTTGCATGGGATGCGGGCTGGACACTTTCTAATTAGTATAGACATAATTATCATCTGCCCCCTCCCCTCCAAATTCCGTGTTCCCTCTCTGCTCAGCTGCAATTCTCAGAGTGGTTAGGAGAGATGGGTGGATTTTCTCAGCAGCATTATATAGTTGTGAACCGCCTACCTCTGCTGTAATGCAGAGTATCTGGGGGTGGCTTGATCTTGATTGAACAAACCCAAACATTTTCTGGAAGCTCTGCTTCCAGTAGAAACACTGCTTGCACTGGTTTGTTAATGGGTCAACACAGCTGTCTGCATGTTTGGACTCTGCTTGAAATGTACTTCACAATTTACTATCATGCCACTTCTCAGCATATATTTAAAATTAAGCACATGCAGAATGGTTAGGAGCACTTCTGCTTCCAAAAGAGATTTTTTTTCCTGAATTTAAGTCTTCAGTGAATTAACATATGCTAACTACTTGACACCTGTACTGTAAGGAAACATGATTATTTATAGCAAGAGTAGGTAGAAAGTGGATCAGCATCTACTGAGTAATTATCAACAGATTAGCAACTATTTCTGAGTCCAAATAGCAGCTCAAGAATGACAAGTTAAATTGCATTTTAAAAACCTGTCTCTAACAAGGCTAGTAATCATTTACCTCTCAACTTCAGCATTCCTTACTTACAAAATGCAAGTATGAATTGGTCACCTTCAAGCAGGTCTTTGCACAGCTCTGCTGATTAGCTTGGAGTTAGAATTCTTGATTGTAGCTACTCAGTTATAGACTTATACATGTATATGTCAGTTAACCTAGCATGTGGCTTGTGGGATATGATAAGTAATGAGTTGCTCTTAAGCTGTGCTTTTGTACCTTGCTCTGCCCCCACTTCTGTTTTGTACCCAGCTCAGGCTGGTGAACCTGAAGTTTCTAATTAACCCACTCCCCTCCCAAGCCTTTCCATCTCAGTTCTATAGACTCTTGCCACAACCCTTCACAGCCTCCTGAAGTTATGATCGAATGGAAGACTATCAGTGCTTTGAGCTGTACCTAGTTATAGGTACCATGCAGTAAGCATTTACATTACTGGAGAACAACCTGCAAAAAGTGCCTTTTGCAAATTTTACTTATGCCATTTCTGTTCAAAATTTCACAATATCTTCCCATATCTCTTCCATGGCTTTAAAAAGATTAGGGGTGCTTCCAGCTGAGGAAATATAACATTTAACCAAAATATGGCTTGAGAATAGAGTATCAGCTCTTAACAAAAGCACATCTGTGATCACAAAAGTTTCTGATGTACAGTGGTACCTCGGCTCACGAACGCCTCAGTTCACGACCAAATTGGGTCGCGAACAAAAATTTCAGAAAAGAATTGCCTCAGGTTGCAAACTCCACATTGGGTGATGATCGCGATCGTGCCCATCTTCCTTGCACGAGCACAAGCACGATTGTGCTGCGGGGGGGGGGGGGGGGTGGCTGTGTAGTGCTCGAGGGGGGGGGAGATGGATTCGATTGCACCCATCTTCCCTGCAGATATAAAGGCAGACTGTATTGGTAAGGGAGAAAAGGAGCTGATGAATTTCATCTACTATTTAACATAATCAGACCTTTGGTTGCAGGAAGCTAGTCATATGCAGATGTGCAAATTCCTTGTATCACAAAGTTTAAAAAGGAGGATTTTTTATTTCTCACCAACAAACTTATGCATGTGGCTTGTGCCACTTCCCTTCATCCATTTGGAAACCTGAACAGAAAAGAAAATGCCTGCACTTCCATCACTTTCCTTTTGCAGTCATGCATGCACTTTGCTGTTTCTGCATGTAGCTGCTACGTGAGTTTCTTGCTAGATTTGAACTTGAATGATAGCCGAGAATCCACACAGCTAAATTTAGGTTTTTGTTGTTTCTGACTCAAGCTGTTCCACAAGCATGGTTTCACTAGCAACAATTCCAGTGATAACAAACGAGACAGTTCAATTTGTTAGATAACACTTTTGAGAGTGATCCTGTTGTTAATTTTCACCAGTAGCAAGTCGGAATCCACAACCATCTGAAACTGGGAACTAATGTATGTGCAGGCTGAACCCAGCAAAAGTTTTGTCACTACAATAAGTAGAACAGAAAGGTACATTCTGGCACGCTGTCATCTTCAGCAATGAATGAAAGGACAATTCTGTTCATGTTTACTCAGATGTAAAACACTGAATTCCATGGAACTTTCGTATTGTACTGTAAGCATGCATTAGTCTGCAGCCTCTTCACTTGTACCTGCAGTTCTTCAGAACACTTCAGAAAGAAGCTCTTCAGTATAGAGTGCTTTCTTGTCCTATACAGAGCCAGGTTTTTGAGGCCCTTGCACCAGATCTCCCCAATAGACCCCTCCCTCAGGTAGTTTCACCTTCTCACTGCCATTGTCACCAGTTGCTACTGCTGCTCTTCCTCTGCCTCATAGTTGTTACCACTTGCTGGTCAGACAGGCAGAGAGACAGAGCAAGTAAGCACTGGCATCTATTGCTTCTTCTTTTCACCCCTGAGAGAGGCAGATGGACAATTTGCAGTGGTGAAGAGCCAGGAGCTTTTAGTCCATGAATCCCTGTGTTGTGAGCTGAGTTTCTCCCACCCTGCAGTAAGTCTCACCAGTGCTTCTTGGCCATACATCTTTATTTTACACAATTGGGATACCCTGCGACTTTGGCAATGCGCTATTGGCTCCATTTCCTCAGTTCCCCATCTGATAGACTCCAGATGACTGGACCCCTTAGCTGCTCTTGAACTAAGCTTTCTCATAGCAGTCACAGGCAGGTACCCACAGAAAGCACTACCTTTCTAGGCAGAAAACAGAGGAAGAGAGAAACAGTTTTTATATTTCCAAAGTGGAGATTATTTTGGATGGTGTAGCACAAGATGTAGATGTAGATATAGGTATGTGCCAAATTGGGTAGCTTTATCTAATCACTGAAGAGAATGTATCCTCAGAGAATATAGTCCCAGCTTCCAGTACTGTAAAATATTCTTCCTGTCATGTAGAATCCCACTGCTGAGTATCTAATTTTGACATACCTTTGCTTTTTAAAACAACATAGTCAAGAGTTGATATGACCTTTGGAATGACTCTCTTCTTGGTTATGTTTTGGCAGTGATGTACCCAGCAAAGAAACCTGGCAAAGCTTGCTCATGAACCAGAAAAGAATTGTTTGTGGAAGGAAAGCATACAAATAGAACACAAACCCAAGAGTGAAGCAAGTGATGTCTCAGTACTAGACCCCACTGCTCAAAGGCACTTCATCTTCTGTTACACTGTGCTATTATTTCTTGTGAAACTGAGTGGCTCGGTGCTATGCTGGAAAGTTCCAGGGTCTTGGAACACCATTTCTCTGTTCTTCAAAAGGCCATTCAGCTGCTAACCGAACTTGGAGAGATCCTAAAGGGTTGTTCTCCATCCCGCCCACATTGATTAACAGTTTCTTTTAAAATAGGGTGGTTCCCCATCCCCACACAGCATTCAAGATGTTCTTTACAGGAAAAGTGTCCTTAAAACTTTGGCTTTTAGTACAGTTGGGATCAGGTAAGTACTGTATTTCCCTAGCTCCATCTCCTGGGTCTGGCCATGTGTCCTACACTACCGAAGACAGTCTTCCTTTTGGTCACCATGGGTGTTGCCATCATGTGAACTAGATCACTAATGCCAGAAAGAGAGGCAAAGTGCCTCTATAAGCCAGTTGCTTTGAACTTGGGAGGGAGAGTGCTGTTGCTCTCATGTCCTGCCTGTGAGTTTCCCAGGGACAGCTAGTTCTGTATATTAACAGGATGTTGGACTAGATGAACCCTTGATCTGATGTAGCGTGGCTCTTCTTACATTCATATGGCCCTTTTTTAATTTTAGGAGTAATGTTTGGAAGAGCAGAAGAGTGCCATGATACACAGTTGAGTACCATTTCTTTCCATTTAAAAATAGTATTATTTTCTATTATTAGGCTAAAATATTAAGAGGTACCCATCAGAATCCTAATTGTCTGCATGATTGCTTTCCTAATCTCTATATTTTCCTTTATAAAGTAGATTATTGGGATTTTTCTACTACAGTTCACATAAGTTGTTTTGATTTTGGTGCCTTTCAGTGCAGCAATTATAAGTTCAGATTAAAGAAAGGTTATACAAAATGGAAGAATCTGCATTTACATGGACATAGGAACTTAAGAGGCAGGATTCCTACATGTTACAACCATTTTTAGTTGTGTGCTAAAACAGCAGGAATATCGCTGCAGGCGAACACTTTACAGTTTGCCGTATATATATTCCTTGTAATTCAAGAGCTGCTCTTTTTCTGGTGTGGAAATGCAGTGATGTGAATAGCATCACCTGTTGAATATCTGCCTTCCATGAAATTGTCAAATGCAGAGGAATCCTGCAAGAAGAAAGTGACAATGATCCTATTGCTTTTAGATGTACAATGCAAGTAAATTACTGGGATCAAGGCACTGGAGAATATTTGGTCAAGCTGAACCTACACTCCTGCATCATTTCTATTTTTGCTTATAAATAGATTTAGAATCAGTATATGAGCCACAAATGAGAGACGCTTGAGTCTAGAGTGGGCAGAGTTTGCACGACTGTATGTCTTCCTGTTCACAGATGGAAATGCCCATTTCCCCGTCTGCAGCTGTGCCTGTTACTTTTGCCTCTGTCATTTCCAGCCATTATGTGACACAAGCGCAGGGGCCAAGCTACACTGTGGCACCTAGCAGCCCTCTGCGATGAGGGATTGGATAGCATAACCTATGTCATATAATGACATTTTGGTCTGTGAATGGGTAGGCAAGCCCCATTCACAGACCCATCCAGGACCTGGGAAGGCGTTAGGATAGTCTTCCCAAAGCTGGCAGCTTTCAAGTGTGTTGGATGACAGCCCTGTTTTTGTTAGCTGGTGGTCACTGGATCAAACTGGCTGGGGACAATGGAAACTGTAGCCCAACAAACCTGGAGAGCACCAGATTGCAGAAGATGCCTTAAGGCATTACTAGGACAAAAATGCTTTGGCTTTGGGATACGGTTCCAAGGTCAGGATGATCAGCATGACAAGGAAGATGAGGACACTTTGTTTTCAGTATGTAAGACTAATTTGTGTAACCATTCTTACTGGGACAAGGAGAAAATATCTGGTACCCAAATCCAGTTTATTTTCTATTCTACAAAATCACGGCAATGCACACACACACTGCTTGTTTGCTACATTACAGGGGAACCATGAATGCTACGGGTGTGTATATGTCACGTGGATCAGCTGTGACACTTTCCTGCTGGCTGAACAGTGGTGGACAGTGCAGTCTGCAGGGCATGCACAAGATATCTATTTTACAAAATCACTCAGAGATCAGCAGCAGCAGTGGCCTTTCAGTTAGTGCTCACATTTCACTGCACAGATTTGGGAGGCAGATCTTTGAATGCCAGTGTCCAAAGGAACGGACATCACTGCTCATATGTGGAATCTACATTTATGTCGGAAGTAAGATTATGTTTTTTGTTTGTGAGCATTTTGCCTGTGGATGTGATTATCAAAAATGCAGCCTAGTAGCAGGGATGGGGGAATATAAAGATAGGTCTAATCCATGTCAGCATTACTAATGTGGAAGAAATATTGCCTGAGTACTAATGAAAAGTCACTTACATATAATACATTTAGTGCTGGATTCTAGATTTTTAAAAATAACTTTGGATCATCATGTGCTCTTAGGACATTAGAACGTTCTCATAACCATTTTTTGCAATGAAGTAAAGCAAATACAAACTCTTTGCAGGCATATATTGGGGTTGTCTTTGAAAAACAAAATTGATCAAAACATTGATTTGTATTAACTTATATGAAGCTACTCATGTTCCAGCTCCTGACTAGTTCTCTCTTTTAAGTTCCTCCAGATCAGCCAAAAAATATATCCTGCATCCAATATGGAAAAAATGGATATACTACTTGTTCATGGGACAAAGGACATTATACCTATCTTGATACTAGCTATATGTTACAGTAAGTTTTACAGATTTCGCTGTACTTATATTCATTAACTCACGCCCACACCCACTACAGTGCTTACTTATGAATCACCACAAAAGAGTGTGCTGATTTGTACAGGCTACTGTGTACTGTATGTCTAGGTGCAAATTTAGAAATAAGTATTCTAATTTAAATAGAAATTTAAATTATATCTCATCTCACATTTCACCATAGTTTAGAAGACTGTGACCACATGTCCTCTGTGTATTGCTCAATCTGTTGTCTAGGTATTGTTGATGGGTAATTCTAAGGCCCAGCTCTTACTCCTGATGGTTCTTTTTCCCTCTACCAGAAGTTTTTGGACAATCCTTCAAATCAAGGATACCTTCAGAATAGAGGACAGTCCTCTGGCATCCCTTCAAAAAGAGCATTGTCTTCTATAAAAGAGGACACTTGTCCCCCTAACCTACAGAGTGCCTACATCTTCCCTTTTTCCTGCTGTTAAGTCCCCATGCATTTTACTTTGGGTGAAAATAAAGCTTAGGGTAGCTCTGACCAAAATATTGTGACTGTCAAACAGTGTAGAATAGATGTTTGGTTTCCTGCCATCAACTTTTGGCTCAGTAAACAGAGTGCTTTTTTTTCATAAGGGGAGGATCCTTTAACAGTGGCTCAGATCCTTAGGTATGTGAACAGAAGGGAGTTCATGGAAGGGGCGTTTCCTGCCCCTTTTTCTTCCATGAAGCCACTTTACAGATGTTTCTGGAAGATCTTGGCAGTCTTCCTGAGCAGTTTCTGAGCAGACTTCATGGTTTGCAATAATGGGTCGTTCTTCTTGCATGGACCCTGCTATAGTTGTGCTTCCTCTGAGTGTCTCTGTAGTTTCTGCATCCTGGACTGGGGGAGCATATGAAAATGCCTTGAAATAGTGCAAGATGGAGTAGAGGCTCCATCTTGCACTACTGACTTGCAAAACATATGGAGGATATGAGATCTAAAACCACCACATCTGCTGCAAGTAATATGAAAGAAGGCCTACCACTGTTTGGATCCTTCTGGCACTCTGTCAATTTATGCTCAAAGCCCATGTTTTCCCAGCCATTATCAGCCCATGGTTTCCAGCTGCTTCTTTATATGTTAACATGTTTACCAGCCTTGATAAAAAGAAAAAATACTCTGAGCATATGCAATTGTGTATTTTACGCTTACATAAAACAGCACTGCAGGAATAAAATAGTGTTTGTTTGTTACTCTGACACCGTCATCACCTGCCACTCTCTTGGTGAAGGCAGCTGGGTTGCAGGGCCCCGAATTTTGGTGTTAAGGTCTAGTCCTAGCTATACCACTGTTTTGAATAGGCATGTATAGTAGCCTGCCCCAATCCAATACCCTCCAGATGTATTGCAGTCCAGCTCCCACCATCCCCTGCCTTCATGGCCAATAGACTGAGAACACCAGGCTGGGAAAGGCCAGTGCACTAGGCTGCAATGTAAAGTAGGGCAGATGTGTACCGAAGGAATATTGCATTCAGACCAGGTCATCTTGTAAACAGATGTACCTATCCATTGAACAGCAGGAGTAGTAGTAAGAGAATCAACAGAGCAATACCCTGTTGCTTAACAGATAAGGGGCATTCACCGTTTCATGCAGGTTTGCCTTTCTGTTGCAGGGTAACCAATGGATTTACCAACAAAACATTTTTGCAAGAAGACATTTTCACCCGCAGCTCGATAGAGCTCAAAGAAAAGTTGGACTTCAACTCTACCTACACACTTGTAGTTACTGCCACAAATGGACTGGGGGAATCTGCATCCCAACCATTTCAGTTCAAATTAATAGACATAGGTAAAAATAAGAAATGTATCTCAAATACATCCATCTTGCATATCTGGTATTCTAGAGAATATTGGCTTCAATAGAATTTTCATCTTCCTTTTCCCAATCAGAACAAGTCCAATTGAACTGAACTGAACTTGATCAGTGAGGATTTTTCCTTTCTTTTCTGAGCAGACGTCTCCTGACACATCATAGAACCATACAGTAGTAGAATTGGAAGAGATCAAGAAGGCCATCAGGTCCAACCCCTGCTGTTGCAGGTCACCAGTTTACACCATCCCACTCACATGGCTGTCCAGTTTCTTTTTGAATGTCTCTAGTGTGGGAGAGACTACCACCTTTCTAGGCAGCTGACTCCACTGTCGTGCTGATCTGACAGTGAGGAAGCTTTTCCTGATGTCCAGCCTGAATCTGGTTTGTCACAACTTGAACTGATTATTCTGTGTCCTACACTCTGGCATCAGCAAAGATCTTGACCTTCCTCTTTGTGACAGCCTTTGAAGTACTTATAGAGAGATATCATGTCCTCCCTCAGTCTTCTGTTCTCGAGGCTAAACATGCCAAGTTCTCTCAGTCCCTCCTCTCAGGGCAGTGTTTCCAAACCCTGGATCATCTTTGTCCCTGCCCCTCCCCCCACCCCAGATGCTTTCTAATTTTTCTGCATTTTTCTTAAATCTTGGTGCACAGCATTCCAGATGAGGTCTGAATAGTGAGGAGTATGGAGAACTACTACTCAAGATTTGAAAGTAATACTTCTTTTTTTATATAATAAGTTTTATTGAAAATTATAACCCTAACTAAAAAACAACATCAATCATCAAAAACATCGGGCCTGCTGGGTCAGCCCCCACATTTTTTTCCATTTATGATGACTTAAAAACAGATTTAAATCTATACAAAGTCCTGTTTCTCTAGCCAATAATAAAAAGAGTCCCAAGCTTGATAGGAATCGAAATCCTTCAATGACAAAGTCAATCTATCCATTTCTGCATCGTCCAAGATCTTTTTTAGAATCCGTTCTTCGATGGATGGTACTTCACTTTTCCAGCATTGAGCAAATATGATCTTTGCTGCAGTAATTACTTATAAAATCCAATACATTTCTTGTTTACTAATATCAATAGGTATAGTGCCTAATAAGAAGACTTCAGGTTTAAAAGCTAAAGATTTTTGTAACATTTCCTCAAGCCATTTATGTATTTTAATCCAATATTTTTTCGCATTATCGCAAGTCCACCATGTATGATAGAAAGTACCAATTTATGTTTACATTTCCAACATCTATTTGACATATTTGAAGATAGCTGATCTATTTGGCAACAGATACCATCTATAAAACATTTTATACAGGTTTTTTTTATACAAAGTTGCTAATGTTACCAATCCTCCATCATTATCCAGAATGTCATCATATCTTATGATCCCTACAAAGTTCAATTCATTTGGATATAAAAGCGCTTCCATAAGTGAAAACGATCTTGGTAATTTATTATACAATTTTGTCTTTAACTTTCCCCACCCTGATGTTAATGATTTCCTAATATAGTAACTTAAGAAAGAGCCATATAGCTTAGCCTTTTCATATTACATATAAGCATGCCAACCCATTTGCAAATCATACCCTTCAAGATATAAAACCAAAGCCCCCATTCTCTTTAGCCTCCTGCAGTATTTTTAATTTGATCCTTGGTTTCTTTTTTCTCCATATAAGTCTTAAGATTTGAAAGTTTAAATCATCAAAAAATTTTCTATCAACTTTTATGGGAATCATTTGGAATAGAAACAAAAGCTTTGGTTATATATTCATTTTAGCTAGTGCTATTCTTCCCAGCAAGGGAAATTGCAAATTAGCCCATTTTTCCAAATCACTCTTAATATCCTTAAATAGTTTATCATAGTTGTCTTCTTTCAGAGTAGTACACTTAACTGTAAGATAGATTCCCAAATACTTAACCTTTTTAACAATCAGCAAGTCTACTTGTTCCACCTGAGTTTTTCTCGGTTCCTATGTGAGATTTTTTACTGACAGTAACATGGTAATCATTAATTCCCATAGGACCTCTTTCTTTCCTTTGGGTATATTCTGGAATCTCAAATAATTAAATTCCTTCTCCATCTGTAATATAGCCAATAAATCCAGTAATGACTTGTTTGTTTGCTTTATTAATTGTGTTTCTTTGTCTACTGTTTCAATTTTATGATGTGCTTGTTGTATTTTTTGTGTATTCTGTTCAGTTTTAAGTCAAACATCTGCCAGTTGAGTTGATACATCCTTAACAGGACTATCCAGTTTGTCAAAATGTTCTCTTTGTTCATTTGCGAAGTTTTTCTGCTTAGCTGACATGTTCCTTATTTCTGCTAATATATTCCTCTGTTCTAAGCTTAATTTTGATATAGAATTTTGGATAGCCTCTTGGGATGCTTGCATAGCTGTTAAAGATGTTTGTATTGCCAAAAGAGTCATTTGTAGATCTTTTTGATATTTTTCGGCATCTTTGGCTTTGAACAGATGAGTTGAACTCTGAGCAGCTGATGTAGATGCTGAAGAGGAGAAAGAGTGTATTTTTCCCATAATAAATGATGATAGTTTTTTGCCAGTAATTGCAAAGCAGGAACAAAAAAAGAAAGAGGAGAAAAGAGAAAAGAGAAAAAAAATCTCCAAAAAGAAAAAGAGGAAGGGGACTTGTTATAAGTCCAATAACCACAGGATGGCAGCAAAGAATTGTTTTGTCTTTATATGATGTCACAAAGAAGACTAAATAGAAATCTAACAAGAAAATGGCGGTTCGTCAGAAATAATTTGTCCTTCTATCCCTTAATCCACAATAGTTTTTTATTCAGATTCTTCACCCTTGGGGAATTAGAAAAAGGAAATCTTACTTTCCAGCCTCATACTTTCAAAAATCCTCAGTTCCTCTCCCCTAGATTAATTGCTGCTGAAACTCCGTGGAGGGAGGGGGAATTCCTACCTCTGTCAAAGGGGCTTTTCTTTCTTCTTTGTTGCAATTAATATCCACTTCAGTTCTTTCACAGGTAATATTGAAAAGGTAGAAATGCTCATCCAGCAGGTCCGATGAACTCCAAGCTATTTTTCTGTGCTATATCTGGTCGTCTATGGCTTGCAGGGAGCTGATCTCTCCCCTGTGTTGTTCAATTGAGAAAAACACAATTTTCTCCCAGTAAATGTGGAGCCGCCGCCCCACATTGCCCAGAAGAGTGCTTGGGCATCTAATCCCTGCCCCGACAGGGCTTGGATGAGCCTCTAGCAGTTCACTGTCAAACAAATACCGGCGTGATTACGGAAGCCCCTGTTCTTCACAGCCATCTCGCCATGACGCCAACCGGAAGTCCCACAATTCCAACCAGAAGTCGAAAGTAATACTTCTATTAATGCATCCCAAAAGTGTATTTGCCCTTTTGTGGATGCATTGCATTCTTGGCTCATATTTAGCCTATTGTCCACGATAACTCCAAGGTCTTTTTCTTTTTTCAGTTCTGTTGAGTCGCGTTTTCCCCATCTTATCAAGATCAATGCATTGGTTTCATTTTCCTAGGTGGTGGACTTGGTCCCATTGAATCTCATTTTGATGCTTTCCAGCATTCAAGTTTATCAAGATCATGCTGGATCTTCATTCTGTCTTCTAGAGTGTTTGCTGCTCCACTCAGTTTTGTTTCATCTGCACTTTTGATTATCTTTCCTTGTACTTCTCCATTTAAACCATTAATAAATCTGTTGAAGTGCACTGGGCCTAGGACTGAACCCACTAGTTACATCCCTCTGGTTTGAGAAAATGCCATTGTTGAGCACTCTGATTTAGGAGCTAACTTTGGATCCAACTAATAGTTTTTCTATCTTATGCGCTTTTTGCTAAGTTGCTTATCAGGATGTCATGTTGAAAACTTTGCTAAAGTCTATGTAGATTATGTCCACAGTTTTCCCTCTGTCCATTTGGGACGTTGCCCAGTCAAAAAATGAGATTAAATTAGTCCAGCAGGATTCATTTTTGATAAATTCATGCTGGCTTTTCTTAATCACTGCATTTTCTTTGAGGTGCATGCAGACTGATTTTTTAATAATTTGCTCCAGAATTTTTCTAGGGGTTGATGTCAGACTAATTGGTCCATAGTTCCCAGGTTCCTCCCCCCACCCCCCCCCCTCTTTTTTTTTTTGAAGATGGGGGCAACGTTAGCCCTTCTGGCATGTTTCCTGTTTTTGAAGAGTTAATATCCAGTGATTAATATCCAGTGATTCTGAGAGTTTCTCTGCTAGCTCTTTTATGAGTTTGGGATGGAGTTCATCAAGCCCTGGAGATTGAACATGTCTATTCCATCTAGGTATCCCTTGACCATTTGTCTGTCAATCTTGAGCTGCGGTCTTTCACTTGCAGTTTGTACTTCCTCTTCGTTGTTCTTGTTCTTGTGGGGGAAGACTGAGGCAAAGTAGGAACTGAGCATCTCTGCCTTTTCCTTGTCATCTGTTGCCACTCTGCCATCCAATTGAAGTAGTTGGACACCTTTCTCTTTTTCATGTCTTTTGTTTTGGATGTATCTGAAGAAGGCTTTCTTGTTGTTCTTAGTATCTCTTGCTATTCTCAGTTCATTTCCTGTATTAGCATTCCTGATGCTGTCCCTGCAATTCCTTGCTATTTGTTTATACACTTCCTTTGTGACCTGGCCCTGCTTCCACGTCCTGTACATGTTTTTTTTTTTCTTTCAGACTGTCACTTAACTTTTTGTGGAGCCACGTGAGCTTCTTCTGTTGTCTTCTATACTTTCTTCTTGTTGGAATTGTTTGTAGTTGTGCCACGAATATTTCCCACTCTTTTTCTCTTAATTGCCATGGCACTTCACTTATCCTTGTTCTGACTTCATTAAAGTCATCTCTCTCAAAGTCCAGGGTATATGTTTGACTGGAATTAACCTTTTTCTCCTTTATAATTGAGAATTCGAGTATTGCATGGTCAGTTACCCCAGGGTTCCCATGGCTGCTATTTTTTCCACTACATTAT